TTCATAATTGGGGGAAGTAACCAGCTGCCTTTGATGTCTGAGCTGGGCTGAGAAAACCTGATGGCAGACTTCAAAGTCTGTTGCGCCAGCTCCCCTGATTATCTGTAGGCTTCTGGCGCGTCCCCCAAGACTGCCAGATTATCCCAGCTAATGCTGCTCTCTTCCCTGCGTCCCCCCCACCCTGCCTGGTGCCAACCCCTCGCTTTTGAGGCTAAAACCTCCATCTCTCCCTGTCCTCCTGCCCCTCCCCAGGCACTGTGGCAGTCTTATTTCTGGGCAGGGGACATGGCTGCTGAGATCTGTGAAGCAAAAGCAGAGGAGACATTTTTGGAGAGCCAGCCTATAGCCTGCACCCCTGGGCTGTATTTCCCCCTCACCGTTCAATCGCAAGAGCAGCCCGAAACGCAGGGAGCTCTCTGCAGCTGCCTGTTGCAAGGCACCGAGGTGTTTACAGGCAAGCAGGCACCATGTGCCTTTCCCCTCCAAAAAGCCTTTGGGGAGCAGGGCTCCCATCCATGCTGCTAAAGGCTGAGGAGGGCCTGGGAGGAGAGGGGCTGTGTTTCTTTGTCCCCTTCAACCTCTTCTGCAGGGACCTTGCTGCCTCAAATTAGTCTCTAGCTCCTTTGCTACCTGCGCTTCGGTGCTTGGGGAGGCCCAGGGTGCTCGTCTGTGTGAGCAGAGATGTGGAGGGCAGGTCATCGCTGAGGGCTGGCTGGGATCGGGGTGAGGAGATGGTAGAGCCACAGGGCTGAGCAGGGGCCCCAGAGCTCGTGATCCTCCCAGAGCAGTTTGCTTTCACCTGGGATGTTGCATAGCAATGCCAAAAGCTTGTGGGGGCACCCTCCCTTTTTAAGAGCTGTTTGGTTTGTTTTTTTTTTCCCAGAGCGAGCAACCTTGGCAGTGGCTGAAAACTCTTCTTGTGCAAAGCTGGATTTGCCTAAGGTGTGGTTTGAGGTCTAGTTCCCTTTGGAAGGTTGGGTTCGCTGCTACCTTTCAGTAGGTGGGGTAGGTTGTGCCCTCTGCTGTGATGGGTGGAAGCCAGCAAAGAATGTGATGGCTGTAGGCAGAGGAAACCACAGCTGCCCTCACCCCAGGCACCCGCATAGCCAGACAGGGCATCTGGGCTGCCGCCTCTCCCCTGTGCCTGCCTAATTGCTTTTGGGTCTCAGCAGTCTGTTCCCTCTAAAAACCAACACCGACCACGGAGTTGCCTCCTTCATCCTCAACATCTTCCTCCATAGCATTTCTACCCTGTTGTGAGAGTGATTCTACCTTATCCCGATTCCTTCCCAGGCTCCTTGCAGTGTGCAAGGGGAGTATCTGGTCAGCACTTGTCTGTCCAGGAGGTTTCCAAATCACCATGAATGCTGCCGGTTGCTGCTGTGCTCTTTTAGAAAGAGCCTAACTTCACGCTGGCTGCACTGGGCTTGGTAAAGCTTTCCATGCTGCATTTTTGGTGGTGTTTTTCTGGAAAGCTTTGGCCCAAATTGGCTGAGCAGCATCCAAAAAGGGTGCTTGCAAAGGGATCCAGGGAGGCGGGAAGCAGGAAAATGGGTATTAAAGATGGTCATTACCTGCGTGAAAGCCAAAACTGGTGCTGTGGGCAACCTGACCTCCAGCCTTGTGCTCTGGCGTGGGAGATGGTGGTACCCTTACTGGGGTGTGCTGAGAGGTGGCCCTGCTGCTCAGGTGCTGGTGGTAGCCAGGCTGTGCCAAGGGCTAGAGGTCAATAGCGTTTAATCCCCATGGCCCCGGTGCAATACTTAGCTCACCAAGTGAGGTGCGTGGGCACATGCACTGCCTGGCTCAGCAGAGGCAAGTCCTCTACTCCTTGTAGGTACGGACAGGGACCCTCTGTGCTACCCAGGAAGCATATTTCCCCCTCGCTTTCTGTCTGGTGTCATCCCCAGAAAAATAGGGTAACGGGATCTTTCTCTTCATGGATTTGGCTTCTCTGGTGTGGCTTCTAATGGCAATGCTGTCTTTGTAAAGGATTCTCTTATACTCTTCCTTTACCCTGCCTTGCGTGGTTAATAGCCCTGCTGTATGTCTGGTTGCACTGATTTCCCAGGGAGGAAGAGAGTAAGTTTCAGATTGCGCAGTCTCGGCAAGGAGGGAGCTGTTGGTTTTGTCCACAGAGCATCATCATTGCCAGTGATGGGGCTGGGCCAGGCAATCCTATTCTCCCAGGTTTCTTGATTGCAAATGTAAACAGCGACTGATGCATCATTAGAGTTGCAAGCTTGGAGTTAAACTGTCCCCGTGTGTGTGTTTATCTGCACGCTGACTGTCAGAAGCTCACTGAGGTTGAACTCCAAGTTTCCTTTCCATTTACTCTGTCGCTGTAGCAGAGATGCTTTTCCCTCCTCCACAGTGGTAAGTGGGTTGGCTTAATGTCACCAGGATCATCCCTGGGGCACTGCTGGCAGCAGGTTGCTATTGGCAAGCAAACCTCTTCATCCCTTTCCTTCTGAGACAGGAGGGTTTCATCCTGCAGCGGGGAATGGAAGCCTACCACACAGTTATGGGTATGTGTGGCTGTGTCCTACTGCCATAGGATGCGGGCCCTCCTCGTAACAGGCATGCTGGGGCACTCCACCACTTGCCAGCCTCTGCTATATATGCTCACCTCCCCTGAGGAGCCAGTGCATGGGTTTTAGCCCTGCGTTGCCCCCTCTTCCCCCAAAACAGGTGCTATTCCTCTGCTCCATTTCTTTGCAATGAGGGTGGGTGGCAGGGAACGGGTGAGATCCTGCAAGGACCTCTCTGCCTGCTACAACAGCCCTATCCCCCCCGGACTGGATTTGGCTTTCTGGAGAGCTGCGTGGTGCTACAGGAGCTGCATGCACAGGCTGATGAGGAGCTGGCTAATGGAGGTACAACCCTTGCAGCGAGGAACCTCTGTCTCCTGGCCCCTGGGGCTGTCATATGAATCAGTTTAATAAACGAGGAAAGGAGGGATCTCATGTTTGTTTTGGTTTGTTACATGAATCTCGTTCCCTCTAGGAGTCCCGTGGGATCAAGCAAAAGGACTTGTTTTACGGTTGGTTTTTGCTTGTGAATCCCTGAGCTAATTTAATCATTCAGTAGATGCCCTGGCAGCATGGCAGGAGCAGTATGGCTCAGGGGTAGATGTTTCATGCCACCATCCTTTCCAGGGTTTAAAAAAACCAAACCAAAACAAAAAAAAAAAAACAAACAAAAAACCCCACAACAAAAATCCACAAACAAAAAAACCTCACAACCAAAACAAACCCTACCCAAAACCGCCAAACAAATCCTTTTGGAGAGAGTCTCTGGGTTTGAGCCCCTTGCTAGTGTTTGGCTGTATGCCTGAGAGGCCAGATTTCCCCTGCCCGGGATGTGCCCCTGTCATCCTCCCACCAGGTCCCTGTCACCTGCCGGCAGGAGCAGCAGCAATGCCCAGGCCATGCGGCACTGACGAGATGCGATGCCGCGCAGCAGCCGATACAACGGCAGACTGGGTCTGTGCCAGCGGCCGCCTGGCCTCAGCCCTCCCAGTGCAGCTCCCCGTGGTCTCCCTGCCCCTGTGAGCAGTGCTGGTCTGGGATCCCCCGCATCCAGGTGCCTGCCCATGGGATGTGCTTACCGGAGAGCATTCCTGGCTGATTTCTGGCTGTGTGGTGATCCTTCGAGAGCTAATAATCTGCCTGGGCTGAGCTGGTTGTTATGATGGAGAGTCTCTTGCCCTTATAGCCGATGGGCTGGTGGGGGGTGCTGTGGGAGAGACACCCCACTTGGGGTACCCCACTGCACCCTTAGAGCTTGGTCAACCATCCTTGGGGAGCAGTGTGACAACCCAATCTGTACCTAAGGCACCTGCAGGTATAGAAAATAAATAGCTGGTGGGAGCTTCAGCCCTAGAAATCTGCCCCCATCCCTTCCTGGGGTCTGGGCCCTTGGCCCCTCGGTTAGCAGGGAGCAAGCTGTTCCATGCAACAAAGCAGGAGTCGCGAGGCGGAGGGTTAGCCTGTGAGATGCTGTCGGACAGCAAAGCCACAACCGGTAGCACCGGCCACCTGGCACGCACACAGCGGCAGGAGGGGCCTTGGGCATCGCCCTTGCCCAGGCGGCATGGGGCCGGGGTGCCGGCTGTCACCTCCCAGAGGTGTATTACTTTCCTGTTGCACCCCACTCTCCAGCCTCTCTCCCCGCTGATTCTGAGCAGAGGAAACCACCACTGCTGGGCAGCTTCCTCCCAGCCGCTTTCAAAATAGCAGGGTGACTGTCATCACCACCCGTGAGAGCCTTCCATCACCTCTCTGGGAGAGGACCCAAGCAGAGCCATTTTCCATGGGGCTGGCACGGTGCCTGGCAGCTGCCTTCCTCTTCCTCCTCCTCCTTCTACTGGGTGAGTGCTCTGCCTGGTGGTGGGCTTTCCTGGGGCAGATGAGGGGGGAAGTAAAGCACCCCCTTAGTGCGGACGGGATCCTTGCGGGTGGTGACTTAGCAGGGTGCCTTGCTGGGGCCACGGGACCAGGACGGCCCTGCTGTGGCCGGTGCTGCTCTGGCTCGGTGGCTGTGGGGAGAGGTGCGGTGGCATGTTCTCCTTCTGGCACTGTGGCTTCACTCCAAAGCGATAGCCTGGACCCTGGCAGGGTTTCGGTGAGGGGATGTGCACACCCCTGTTGTGAGGCTGCTGAGGGTGTGGAGGGGGTTACCTCACCCCCTCTTCCCTTGGGAGAGGGTTTTTGAGGGTTTCTTAGGCTGTGCCGCTACCAGCTCTCTTCCTGGCCCAGTCTCCGTGGTTGGTTTTTGACTGAGTGCCTATGTCCTGTGGGCATTTTGCTTGGGGTGCATGCTGGGAACCAGAACAGAGCATCACCACTGGCAGCTCTGCAGGAGGGGAGGGTGCACAGGTGGCCATCACCTCCTCAAACCCTCTGCAGGCAGAAATGGAGGGAGCCCTTGATGCCTCCCAGTGCCCTCTGCCTTTGGGTCTCCGTGGTTGGTTTTTGACTGAGTGCCTATGTCCTGTGGGCATTTTGCTTGGGGTGCATGCTGGGAACCAGAACAGAGCATCACCACTGGCAGCTCTGCAGGAGGGGAGGGTGCACAGGTGGCCATCACCTCCTCAAACCCTCTGCAGGCAGAAATGGAGGGAGCCCTTGATGCCTCCCAGTGCCCTCTGCCTTTGGAGGAGATCTTGCTGGCCCCCTCTCCTGCACCCTCCCCAGTTTCTGTCCATGGAGCACCTCTGCAGCACCCAGCCTGCCCGTTCCTTCTGCTGTCGCATGTCCCTTGGCTTCTGCACTGTATCTCCATCTCTGGCAGCGGTCAGCTCTGCACCTGCTCCCTTTCCTCCCCAGCTTGTGCAGGACCTGAGTGCTTGGCCTACTTAATTTTAACACACCACAAGCTTTCTCCAGTGATCTCAGTCTGGTTGCTGCTCCCTCTGAGCAGCTGGCTGAGAGATGCTCTCCAGCCATGAACAGTCTTGACAGCCCTCTGGCCATGATGCTCTGACCTCTGTTGTGTAATGCCCAGTGTGCTAGGAGACAAGAAACTTAGGAGGTCTGCTGTTACAGAACTTGTTCTTGCAATTGCAAGGGATGTGAAGTCCCTTGGACTTTGTGCTTCAAAGAATGAGACTGCACAGCAATTCTTTTCAGTATTACATTGCAGTCCCATGCACACCCAGACCCACTGCTGTATTGGATGTGCAGCACTCCGGTAACACAAACCCCTGCAAACACTGCGTGTGCCGACTTTGCTGGCAGGTTTGAGCACTGGCCAACGGGTGGTGACTGTTCAGAAGGGACCCCTCTACCGTGTGAGGGGGTCCCACATCACACTGTGGTGCAAGGTGAGCAGCTACCAGGGCCCGGCAGAACAGAACTTCCAGTGGTCCATCTAACTGACCTCGGCCCCCGAGCGGGAGGTGCAGATCGTCAGCACCCTCGACCCCTCCTTCCCCTACGCCATCTACACCCAGCGTGTGCGCAGCCGGGGGATCTACGTGGAGCGGGTGCAGGGGGATGCCGTCCTGCTGCACATCACCGAGCTGCAGGACCGGGACGCCGGGGAGTACGAGTGCCACACGCCCAACACCGACGAGAGGTACTTTGGGAGTTACAGCGCCAAGACAAACCTCTCAGGTGGGTCCTGAAGGAGAGCCCTGCTACCTGCCGGGCAGGGGTGCAGGAGGGTTTCCACTGCCCCTACCTTTGCACTAGGGAGAAGTGCTTGTCTCTGGGTCTCTGACAGAGGGGCAGCTGGGGAGAGGGGTAGTGAGACTGGTGGGCACAAATTTTCCTTCTCTCCCCACTGTGGGATTGCTATCCTATCCCTGAGGGGCCAAGGTGGGGATGCCCAGATGTCTCCTTGCAGGTTGCTCTGGCCATTGCCTCCCAGCCAGGGCAAAGTGGGGGGAGAGGAAGCCTCTGCTATCCCCTGGCCCGACTTTAACTTCGGCTCCTGATGTAGCCACAGCATTTTGCAGCTAAGCACTTAGGAGGACAGGAGTTTGCAAGCTCTGTGCATTAGCTGTTGGTGTCTCCTCAGGTCAGGGTGTGGGATTTGACCTAAGTGGAATACCCACAGCAGAGGGAGGTAGCGGCTCCTGCAGAGCACTGGGAGAGGGAAGGCAGTGGGCTGGAGGGGCAGAGGAAAAGGCCCTACTGTGCGCCTACCAAGTCTACATGGTGATATGGTACTTCCACTTGGTATTCACCCCTGTTTGCTCCTTTATCCTGGTGGTGTACCAGCCTGTGCTTAGGATTGTGAGGGGCTGGATGTTAGTCTCCTTGGGATTGCCTAATGAGTACTGCCCATAGTTTGAAGAGGGTACTGCAGAGAGATTCACTGTGCTTTCTTCCCTGCTGAAGTTTTAACCACTTCACACCTTGACGTAGGCTGATGGAAGTCTTGTCAATCAGCTACAAAAGGCATTTCTCCTACACTGTCAGATCCCTTAGGGCCTGACCGTGGTTTTGTAGTGGCTGGCGCATTGCCCATCGAGGCCAAGAGATGATTTTTCCCATGACCAGCTGCTCTCTGTGTTTCTTTACCATGTTCAGTGATTGCAGACACCCTCTCGGCTTCCATGGCACCCCAGGTCCTGACCCACACTGAAGGGGACATGGTGGAGCTCACCTGCGAGGTGTCCAAGTCCACGGCCCAGCACACACACCTCTCTGTTGGCTGGTACCATCTTCAGGGAGCCGGACATCACCGTGCCGAGGAGGTCCTCACCCTCTCCAAGGACTTCGTCTTGAGGCCAGGGCCCTCTTACGCACAGAGGTTTCTGGTGGGGGACGTGCAGCTGAACAAGATTGGGAACACCACGTACAAGCTCTCCATCAGGGGAGCGGAGCCATCCGACCAGGGGCAGCTGTACTGTGAGGCGGCCGAGTGGATTGAGGATCCTGATGAGACGTGGAAGGACATCTCCCGCAAGCAAACAGGGAGGACGTCACTGGTGGTCATGAGCCAGGGTAAGGCCCTTGCACACTCACACGTTGGCTCCAACCCCTTTGTGTATTCAAAGCTTTATAGCAGCAGCCTTCAGTGGCCTTCGCCTGCCTCCGCCACAGCCCAGTGACCCACTGATAGGTCTGGCTGCCTCTGCTGGGCACTGAGTGGGGCAGGCTGGGCTCGGGGCCATGGCAGCCCGGCGTTTGGGAGCTGTTGGTGCTTTCTCGCTTTGGAGGTTCACGCAGCCGAATCTCTGACACCGGTAGCAATTGTGCAACCTCGTGGGCCCTTGTGAGGCGTTAGCAGAGAGAGCCACGTGTGCCCACGGCAGCCTGGATCCTTGGCAGCGTTAAGCTCCATTGCGTAGGAAACCACATTGTTAGACTCCTTGAGGGTCTCGTGGCCTGAAAAACTGAAGTACACAACAGGCAGCTGCCTGTCACGGTGTTTCAGCCATGGGCACCGAGGGACACGGGGATGTGCTGTGTGTGCTGCATAGCTCTGCTGGAGGTGGCTTGTCTGTCCGTGCTGTCACCAGTCTGCTGGTTTACAGAGCAACTGGTGTTGCTGTTTATTAGACCATCCCTGTGTCTCTTCCTAGTAGTTCATGTATGTGGCACTAATGGGACTGTGAGTCAGACTGTGCTTTGAAGAGGAATGCCCCAAGCTCCTGGCTTATGCTCTAGGAAAATGTAGTATTAGGTATTTAGGAAAAGGACACTTACACCTGCTACTGTGTATGAGATGGATTAAAATGGGAAAGTTTCAAAACCAGCCCCTTGCCAGTGCTGCCCATCTTCCCCCACCCCACTCTGTCTCTGCCAGGCACCTCCAGTTCCCTCTGCCCCAAAAGCCTCCCGTGGCTCCTGGCATCTGGAAGCTCTGCATTGCCTCGCCCAGGGCCAGTGGGAACACCCCTCTCTCCCCACTGCCGTGGGATGGTTACAGCACTGTGAGTTTGCTGCCGCTTCTCTGAGCACCCTGCCTGCCATCCCTCCTGCCACAAGCCCTTTGCTGGCTGCCGTCCCTTGCCCTGCTCTTCCCCCAGCTGCCTGTGGGTAGCTGTGCCCAGAGGAAGGGAAAAAATCTCTCTTTCCCACCATGAAGTTTTACCTCAAAGCAACTAAGACAAGGCTGCGTCTAGTTGATGCCCTTTAACATATGCAATAACATGCAGTAAAATGGGAGCAAGTCTCTTACTGAAAACCTGCCTGGGGAGGTGGTATATCCTGTCCCCACATCTCAGGGCAGATGGAGGAGGCTGCAGAGGCAGGGCAGTGAGGGGAACCGGTGTCTTTTGTGATGGTGATGAGTCAGAGCAGGAAACCAAAAAACGGATGAGTAAGGACCAAGCACCCCGTGTGCAGCTCAAGGAGGGGCAAGGTATCAGGGGGAGGGGGAGGGAAGGGCAGTCTCCCACTGTCAGAGTCTGGTTCCCAAAACCTGGCTGACTGACAAAGCTTTATTCCTCTTATTACGCACTGTTTGCAGCAATGGCTTTCCATGTCTGCTGCTGCCTGGCGAGCAATGGCAGTCGGTGCGCTTTCCTGTGTCCACTTGTTTAAGATGGTTCATCATGACCGGTAGCGTGGGGCTTTGGGTACCAGTGCCACAGGTTCGTTTAGAAGTAGAGAAACCTTGTCAGAATATTTGCCCTTTGGCAGCCGTTAAGGGTAGAAGGGAGGCAATGGTGGTAAGAGGACAGTATGGTGGTTGTATTAGAGCTGCTGGTATTGCTGGGGGGAAACAGCAGCAGGCGTATGAGCCCTCCGTGATGTCTGCAGAGCCAGGGTCTCCCTCCAGCACCCTGTGAGAGAGCCCAGGCTGCAGGGCTGAGCATCCTGTCACACTGGGAGCCGGTGACCGCTCTGACTGTGGCTAACTGCTCCATTGGTTTCTATAAACTCTCCAGCAAATATTTGGGAATGCCAAACATATCTGCGGTGGCTGGGATTCCTGTTCGCAAACTGTTTATGAACCAGTGTTTAAATTCACAGGGTACTCTGCTTTCAATAAATTATTCAAGCCCTTCCAGTGGCAGTCTGGGAGCTGCTCTGTTTTACCTCCAAACTACAGCACGTAGCCTTGCCCTTGTTGTTAGACACAGGGGCCACCGCAGTGACTCAAGGAGATGGAGTGGTATGAGCCAGGCTGCCTGCCCAGGGACTTGGGACTCAGACCCACCTCCTGGTTTTTGACTGTGCCACTGGTGTGTGGGGTCACAGCACAGGGTTTCGGGGCACCCTGTGGGTCTCTGCCTGCAGCCACTCTCCAGCCAGGCCGATGCCAGGAACCAGGGGGCATCAGTGGCAGAGTGGCTTTGAATGCCCCACGAGGGCTGACTGCCCAAGAGGGTCTGCCAAGGGGAAGATGACTTTGTGCTCCCCCTGTCCCTACCCTCTTTGCTTGCCAGCTGCTGGTAGTTGGTATCGGGGGCAGGACAGGGACTAGGAGATGACCTCCATCTCTTCTTGCTTCTCTCCCACCTCCCCATACTGTGACAAGTCTTGACATTTGTGCTTTCTGTAGGAACTAACCTAAAACCTCTCCAACTTGGAGAGTGTCTCTTGCCCATGTCCTGCAGCAGCCCGTGAGGGTTTCAGCAGGTGGGACCAGCATCATCAGATTCAGACAAGCAACTTGAATGCCAGCCCTCCATGCACAGACAGCAGAGTTAAAAACACCACTGAGTGATAAAGCCCCTTTTTGCCCCTTTCTGTTTTAAGGGATATTTGTTACATGAAGCAGAACAACTCCAAGAGGTGAGACGGCGCAGCCTCCTGCAAAAGCCCATGCCTCTGGGTTAGGGCAGCCCTTGGTCTGGATGCCTGAGCTGGGGGTGGCTGTGGCCCGAGGCCATCCTGGTGGGTGCTGTGCTCTTGGGGGGTTAGCTGCTCCGAAGGGGGAGCTCAGCTCCTCGGGGCTCTGGTGCTTCCTCCACCTGCGACTGCTGGTTGGTGCCTGGAGCTGGCAACTGTCTCCCCGTGGGCAAAATTTTCCATCCTGATCACTTTTCTAATGAAAGAAAATATTTCAAGGAGAATTCCTTCCTGTTTCCATCTGCATGGCCATCGGTGCTGCCAGGTGGAAGGGAAGGATTGGCAGGGCCACCCAGCACCCTCTTTGCTTTTGATTGCCCACAGGCAGAGACCTCTCCGTGGACGTCGCTGCTGCTGAAAGCTCCCTTTCTGAAGGTGATACCTTGCAGCTACATTGCATGGTGGGAGCCCAGAAGAGCAGCAGCAGGCACTTCCAAGTGCTTTGGCTCCTCAGCGGTGTGGAAGTGGCCAGGGTTGACCCCCATGGGGTATTGATTTGGGAGGACGAATATGAGGAGAGAGCCAAGCTGGGGCAGCTCCGAGCATTCAAGCAAAGCAACACGGTTTATGTCCTCACCATCTATGAGGTGGGGCTGAAGGACAATGGTACGTACCACTGCTCTGTTTCAGAGGTGAAGACTCCTGGAGATTTTCATAGCATCCAAACCAATCTGTCATCAGGCATCCAAGTCGACGTGAAGCCAATAGGTTAGTAAATCCTAATGGCTGCTTTTTTGGGTAAAGTGTGCAGTGATCCTTGACTGGGGAATGCTCCAAGTCTGGCCTCATCTTGGCAGGAGCAACACACCTGGTGTTTGCAGCAAGAGGGCAAATGTGCCATAGATTTTGGTAGCTAATAATGGGAAAAACACTTGCAAACATTACTGTGACAGATGTAGCATCTGTCAACAAAGTGTAAACCTTCAGCTCAGTCTCTTTGCACTAAGTTTTGGGGCAAATAGGTAGAGTTCTGGTGAAGCTGAGTCCTCCTGTGTCTTTGGTACCGAAAATTGTGAGCAACACCTGTTGCTGCTCCCAAGAATCACAGGATGACCCAGCAGAACAGGTACTTCTGGATGGGGGCTATCACTGCCATTTCCATCAAGGTGACCTCCCATTTTGGAGAGATGACTTGTGAGAAACCATTCTAAGAAAGATGTGTAGGAGATTCTTGGTTCCCTTGTCATAGCTAGATGATGACTATTCTGATGCAGCAGGAGCTGCCTGTTGGGACTCTATTTCTTAAGCATTTCTTTATGTATTTGTGTCCCAGGAAAGACATTAAAGAAGAAAAAAAACCCCAACCCAACCCAAAAGCCCACAAAGCCCTCTCCAAAGTTATAAGAAAGGAGTGGTTGAAAATTTCGGACAATTCCTTTCCTTTTCCAAGGTCAAGATTTATCTAGTCTCTCCATTTAATACCACAGTATCTCTGCCTTTCTGTGAGGAGCACAACAACGTCCCCTCCCACGCAGTAACTGTTGTTTGCAGAGAGCCGCATGCGCCTGTCCGTGTCCACCAGCACGCCGCAGGTCATGGCGGGAGATGCCTTGATCCTCCTTTGCGAGGTGCGAGGAGCAACCAGCCCTGTGTCCGTGCAGTGGTGGCACCTGCCACCACAGCACACGGGTCCCCAGGTGCTGGTGGCCACCATGGAGCGGGATGGCACCCTGAGCCTGGGCAGCACCTACCAGGATGGTGGAACTCGGGGGAGTCTCCGTCTGGAGAAAGCGAGCTCCGGTGCTTTCACCCTCGTGATCCCCAACACGTTGGATGAGAGTGATGGCGGGTGGTATGGGTGCAAAGCGACAGAGTGGTCCCGAGGCCAGAGCTGGACAGAGGAGGGGGAAACAGCAGTGACAGTCAGCTCCATGGGTGAAGTTGGGCCACCCTTATTTCTGGGCTTTCAAGCTGGATGTGCTTATGGCAAGGCTGGAGAAGTGGGGTGGGTGCATGTGGGTAGGATGGGGGTGTGCTGTGCCCTGAGCTCTGCTGCTGCTGCGGAGTGACCCGGGGCTGATGACTTGGCCCTGGAGTGCTTCAGTTTCCTTATTTCTGGCAGGGTGCTTGAGTCCTACATGAGATATTTTGAGAGAGACAAATGGGACACAACAGCTAAAATGCCCAGAGACCTGAAAGGCAGTGGCTTGCTCAGCAGGTCTTTCTGACTGTCTCCTTAACTTGAATACAAAATATCTGTTCTAGCAGCATAATTACTTACAGTCATTAAGCTCAACAAAGGCACTTGCTGAGTTGTGTGGTGGCCTTTGTCAGAGATACACCCCTGGTGCTGGCATTTGATCGCTTCTCCCGCCCGAGCACAGAGCTGCTAACCTCCCCAGCATGCAATGCCCGCGCCGTTTTTTCTTTTGATTGCTGAAATGGGTGCCTTTATGGAGAGACAGCTTTTGGCTGTCATTTAGGGTGGTTTTTCTTTCTTATCGCTGGACTGGTCATCTGAGAGCACCAGTCAGGCCACAGAAATTGTTCGGCTTTTGCGGAGGGTGAAAAGAAGCAGCAAACAGGGCAGCAGCATCCGCAGAGGATCCCTGGCTCCCTTCCACGGGATGGAACTGGCCTGGAAGC